TAGCGTTAGTGCGTGAATAGTGATTGATCTAAGTCGACGGCCACAATGCGGCAATCAAAATAACTAAAATAAAATAATATAACAACGGAAAGACAAGTGGCAAACGGTGTAAATAGCTGCAGATGAGAGCACACCGCCGTGCCTCCGTCGCCGCGGACGGACGCCATCACGGAGAATGATCTGAAGAATCGTGTGTGCGTGTTTGTTCTTAAATCGTGGCAGTCCAGAGGGAAAAAAGTGTACGTAAATATATTTTTAATTTACTACGGAGCTATAGAATATATACCACCTAAGAGAATAGTGCGATACGGTTCGGTTTTTTCTCATCGCCATATTGCGAGCCTSCCACCATTTTCAACGAAGAGACCGTGTTTTCCGGTGTGAAAAACACCGCACGCACGAACGGCTGTGGAAAATGGAAATGTACAGAGTTGCGCGAAAACAATATATTATTATACATATATATACCTATATATAAATTTAAAAAAATTGCGGATTATAATCGGTGCGCGACGGCCACCGGTTGTTTGACGAACTACGCCACGCTGCGTTGCAGCGCGTATAGGACACGTTTGTGGAAATTGGAAGTATGTTATTATTATTATTATTATTATACACACCACCGACGCCTTGGCTTGAACATCTCAGCATATTATTATATATATATTAAAGGTATATACTGTAAGATAGGTACCGTTATATATGGTTATCCTGAAACTGTATACATATATACAAGATTGGCTTTGAGTGTATATATTTATTATATATACATAATTATTATCGAAACGCAACAAATTAATTTACCACACGAAACAGTAATGCGCGATTCGGTAGTGTCGGTCCACGATGATGCGAACGTCCATCATCATCGTAGGTACATTATAATAATTGTTTTTAATATTGACGAAATACCGTGTTATTTTATTGGCTATATATAATATAAAGAATATATACAATGTATTATATTATTTGTAGATGTGTCTGCGAGTGTAACGGAATGAGTACACTTTTTTTCATTGCGATGTTGACGATGTTGTGCAAATGATGAGCTGATTGGGTTCGCCGAAACCCTGTGAATAGTCATAACTTCACAAGAGATAAAATAAACTTAAAAAACAACGATATTCACTGAAACGAAAAAACCACGAAATAAGCTGAAAAATCATAATATTACTCTGAATATATATTATTAGGTGTATTGTRGCTAAATCGTGATATAAAACCTATCTAACATAGTAACTAATCTACATATTCCGATACTAAAATCCGTTACAGTCAACGTTTTCTGTCGATTGATATCACATTATAGAGTATCATTAAAACACATTTTGTCGTCTATAGTCTTTAGTTGTCGTCGTCGTAGTTCTTCTTATTATTTTTTTTTTTATATTAAATAATTTTTACGATGTAGAACGCGTTTTTTCTGTACGTCAATGGAAAGACAATATTATGAATTAACGTCGTCGGACAAGTATTTTGATTTGATAAGCACGTCACGTCTGTGCARCGAGTAGTGAGTAAATTATACTGGTTCGTATTGTACTTACCCGGTCGTAATAAAATTATAGAGAAAATTACCCTTCGACCCTGAAAGCGATTAATGATCATCAAAGATAATACGATGTATATTGTATATATACATACATGTACGAACAATTTGATTCCGCGTATTATATCAGCCTTGGCGACTTTATAGCTTCGAAATCTATTATATATTATAAGGTGAAATCAAATTGTCTTAATTAATATGAACCTAGTATAGACTATAGACATCTGGAAGTATATTATTATGTAACTAGTCACTAAAACGAGTCTGTATTATTTTCTATTTTACAGTATTAAAATATTAAGAATATAAATAAATTAAAAAATGTATATGTGTATATTTGTTTATATAGTCAGTCTCAGTCTCATTGTGTATATTGTTCTTGATCTTTGGTTTTTTTTTCGGTAGCGTCTCTTTAGAAATTATCTCTAAATGGACAATCATTTTACACATATATTTTCGACAGTAGGTATAATTTATTACAGTCGTGTGTACCACACGATGAAGCGATATAATATATATATATATAATCTATAATCTATACAATTCGACTTGTTTTTTCAATCGGATTCGGTGTAAACGCACAGGGTTTGGAAGAGAAGACTTATTATACCATAATACATGTTATTATTATATAGTTAGATAGTGGATACTTTGTGGGAGGTGAAATATTGTGACAATAGCAGTGGACAATGGGCGCGCAGTATTCCCAAAAGTATACACGTGGTACACATGTACGAAACGAATGTATTTTATACTTATTATTATTTACTTCTTTTTTTTGGCAATAATAGCTACCTACGATTTGCCTTTATACGCGCTGATGGACGGGCGGCGATTTTCACCCTGTCACAGTCGTATAGGGTAATAATTTATGAAGCTGTTCACAGGGATCCATCTCGTCAATGAACTCTGAGTCTCTGAACGATGTCGTCTTGCCGAAAAAACCTCACACACAACATTGGCAATCATGATAAAACGCATACTATATTATACGCGTCTAATATATTTATTGTTGAATTATATTGTAAACCAACATAATATAGTCCGTGCGGTGACATGTGTCGTTATAGGTATGTACATGTATAATACGACCAGACCATATCGACCCTCGTCGTACCCTAAGATGTATATATAGACACAAACACACGTGCATACGATATACACGAGATGACAAAAAGGACAGTTTTTATGGCATGACGAGTATTTCGCGATACAGTCATATATGTATATAGACATATATATATATATATATACACATTCATATATTATATACAAATGATATGTGCGGTATTTCGCTGCAGTAGGTAAACGCGATTTTTCTCAAAGGCCTTGACGTGCGTATCGCGTACATATCATTATAATCTATAAGGTAAACGTAYAACGCATTCGTCTTTGGGTTGCGGAAGAACATATACGACGACTCGCACGCGCAATATTATTATTACTTTTTTATCGTGTTCGTATACTTATCTATAGGTATCTAATACAGGTATTCACGCGAATAATAGATTTTCGCGGCGCATTCCGCACGCGCCTCGACAAAGCGCGTTTGTATAGAGCAAGTTTATCACACTTAGGTACTAATATCTACTATATTTTTATATGTGACACTATAGAGCACTTTTATATATCATACAGCCAGGTGTTTTGAGCTCAGGTATATTATAAGGACATATAATATTGTACCCGACACTATCCGGTATGCCTTATATACCTGTGTACTACATACTTGGTGTTGTGCATGATATAAACATTATAAACCATAAACGTGTGTAATACTCAATATATACGCGTATACAGGTGAAAAGTTCCGCAACGGCCGTGAACCTGATTAGGATGTATATTATATAATAATATAATATAAGAATATTGGATACAATTATTTTTTTTATTATTAAACCGCGCGTGCCATAAACAGTCGTATAACGACGGACAAAATGTATGATTCGCGTATGATTTAGAAACGTTTACGAGTATMTACTATTAAAATATTACACGGTGTTTTAAAAGTCTTCATCCGATTACGAACTGTTATAGTTCGGTAACGGTTAATCGCAGGTTAACGACTCGTGTATTACTGGAAAAGTAAGATAACCAAATTCA